TCCCATTCCCTTATTCCGCTTTTCTTTCTCCTGATTTCTGACACTTGTGCATGTTTTTCTCCAGTGTTTATCCCAATGTCATTGAACTGACTTAACCTGCATTCCTCCAGTTCTCTTTCCCCTCACTGTTTTCCCTTGCTTACTCCACAGATAACCCCTGTGTTCCCATCAACCCTTGTTTCAACGGAGGTACCTGCTTCCCTGATCAAATTGGAGGCTACATTTGCACCTGTTTGCAGGGATTCAGTGGCGAAAACTGCCAGATTACACCAGGTACTGAGTCTTTGATGTAGCTGTTCATCAACTGCAGTTGTAAGAAGACTTCCCAAGCTAGGGTGTTTTTTCACAAGATGTCCTGCAATGATGTAGCCATTTCCATAACATTCAGCAGACACCTCAGTACCCACAGAACCACAATTTCTTCCAAAACATTGAACAAAGACCAAAAACGAACCTTGTTTTCACCCTACCCTACAAACTTCCCTCTTCGTCACTCCCCAAGGGAAAATACTTTTGATCACGATCTTATCAGCAACTGGAAATGCAGCAAAAGCTCTAGTCGCACTTCCTTTCAGCATTGATTTGTTAAAATGTACAACTAGACAAATGAAATGGTGATAGACTACCCCATCGTTAGGTGTCATTTCTGGCAGCTTCTCTAGATACTTAGAGTACTAAATGCAGAGACAATTCTTGTGAGATTTGAAGCTTTTCATGATGGAGGTAGATAGGTTTGCGTTAGCACCATGGATGTATCTCTTTTTTTAGTATGTGGGGGTCTGAAAAGAACTGGTGGTACTCAACGTTTCAGACAGTATGCTGTCTCCTGAAGACGGACAGAGCTACCGCAAACCTATCTGATTTACTTGCCAGTTCTTGTGTTGATGACAGTACCACTGCAGTGCTTGGCTTTTAGCATCAAGTTTTTTGTTTGTTTTAGGTTTGTGCTTTTCATTGACATATAGTCAAGTTTTTAAAGGAATGTGGTGTTTTTCAATCGTGGTCTCCCATTTGCTTCACTTTCCCTGTGTTTCTTTCTTTATCCGCTTTCTACTGCTGCTCTTTCTACTTTCTACTGCTGCTTTCCTGGCCTGCTTCTCTGTCTTTGCACCTCACGCATAGATCCCTGCCAGTCGGATCTCTGTCAAAATGGAGCCACCTGTGTGCGGATCGGAACTGGCTTAGATTATGAATGCCGCTGCCTAGCAGGCTATGCCGGAACTTATTGTAACATTGCACTAGGTTGGTGGATCCTTAAACAATTGACCAATTAAAGGGCCCTGATTTGATCACATACTTTGTATTTAGCCAGTGAGAAATTAAACCACCTTGTGTGGAACTTTTTCAGTTGATGCCCACTCCATGGCCTGATGAGATACCAAACAGTTTTTGTCATCACCATTCCAAGAGATGTAAAACATCAACAAGAATTACATTATTTCAAATTGGAAAAAAATGGTTCTTTGCCCACCACAAATAGAATTCACAAGGACTCTTGTACAAAAAATGAAGATACTGCAACATAATTTTTGCTGAAGGCTTGTCAGATTTCTAGTGAAGTGTTCTTTTCCACTGTCTTCCTCTCTGCATTTTTCCGGCTCTTTCTATTCCTGTCGGCTCTCTTACCTTTCCTAGATCCATGCGATAGTCGTCCGTGCCTTAACGGAGGCAACTGTAGCCAAGTGGGCATGACTTATGCCTATCAGTGTCAATGCCCCAACGAATTTACCGGAACCAACTGCCAAACAGTCAGGGGTAAAAACGTTTTCCCAGTGTTCTGTTATTTCCATCCATTCCATTTCACCCCATTTTTCCGTCCACGTGTGTGTTTCTTCTAATCACTTGTCATTTGATTTGACATGTTTATACTGTTTGTTCACTTACACTAACCTGAATGGGTCATGCCTGGATGTACCCCCTCCGGTGTTGACAAAGAGAGAGTTTTGGGCCGCCGCACGAATGATTAACTCGGAGCATTCTTTGCCCATGCATCGAATGTCTTCAGTCATGTGTGGTTTCGGCACATTCGTAATTATGTGCACTCAGTGTTACATGCTCATGAACAAGTAGTGGAGGCAGTCTGTGGGTCAGAAGGATAACCTTTGGTAGCACTGTGATCAGTATTTTTTCATGTATAAGGCCTACGAGTAGTAAATTTTCATCTGAATGTGCACAACCATGGAGGCAAGTGTCTGTTATATCTCCTTTACTATTGAGGAGGTTCTCGTTTGTCTGATGTACCCGTGTAATGACTCCAGATCTCTCACACTGAGTGCGCAAGCAGATAGCCTGAGATTCATTCTTGATTTGAAGAAATCTGTGAGGCATAACCTTGATGATATTCTGGGTTTTGGAATCTGAAAATGGGAAATGTTACCCTGGGCATTTCTATGTGTGTCTAACAGGATTAATCACACTCAGTCTTTGTCATTATTGTTTTCTTGTATCAACCATCTACTTGACACTGGAGATTGTCCATCCATCCTGTCACATTTGAGACAGTCTTACGAGTCTGTTTGTTTGTCTGTTTATCTGTCAGACACTGTGTCTTTCCATCCATCCATCTACTCATGATAACACATTGCACCATCATCATCCCACCCGACAGTAAATGCACTGGAATTGGAGTGTACTAACAATCGTTATTATATCCTAAATTCATCCACTCAAAAATGTGAAATAATTTCTGGAGAGCTTATTTCTGAGCTTATTTCTTGAAATATCCCTATGGAAAATATAGTCTAAAAGATATAATTCTACAGTTTAATTTCCTTTTGTTCAAGTGCCCCTCTGTCCGTACAGTGGTGTGTTCCACATTTGAGTGGTCACAAACAGTCTCCTTATATGGAAAATGGCACAAGCGTGGTGCATGCTGTGTGAGGTGAGGCACAGCCAGTTAGTGCTTTATCAACTTGTTAAGACCAGCCATGTGATGGACGCTTGACCAGTAGGATAATAATTTTCTTAGATATTTGTTTGATTATGTTTTGTAATGTCTCCAGTATTGGGCTGAAAGGGCATTATCTTCTAGGGCTCTGGCTGTTCACCGTGGCACGGTAATGGCATATAAAGTTAGCCTTAAGCCTCAATGTGCTGAATTCTTACACTGACCTTTGATCCACTGTTTTGATGCAGATTTCTGCTCTCCCAATCCTTGCTTGAATGGTGGGGTCTGCCTCAGGCAGGGCACCAGTGGTTACACTTGTCAGTGCTCATTGGGTTACACGGGCACCAACTGTGCCACCAGGCTAGGTAGGTGAATGATGGGCGCATCTTGCAATATAATCATAATGCAGCACTAAGAAGAAGTCAGGAAGAGCGCATAGTTTGCACTGCATTATGGGAAAAGTCAACATGAACATGTCCATGAAACACTGTCCTGTTTGGCCTGGCCTGGCACTTCTTTCGGTGGTGTTTAGTAGAAGTAAAAGTCATCGTTGTTATCAAAGGCATCAATTTTTACTGGCTTCCTTATTTTATAAATGTATGAGCAGCTTATAAGTAAGTTTTATTTAGACCTTGGAGAATTTTTACAAGTAGTCCATATCCGAATGGGGCGGTCTCTCCTAGAAAGAGAACCAGTTATGCCTTTCAGTGCAAGTACGTGCTAGGCTCATGGTCCAGGCAAAGACTGTGCACGGGTAAACTGTTAAACTCGCTTCTCCCCGTAGAACCCTGTGCCAGCAACCCATGCCAGAACGGTGGAGCTTGCTCCCGAGTGGGAACCAACTTTGTCTATCAGTGCCAGTGTGTGCAGGGCTTCACGGGTACCAACTGTGAGACACCAAGTACGTATAATCTGTCCCTGGAGTAGTGACCCTCCATAGGTGTAATAATAGTATCTTCCCATTTTTTCATGCTGTGTTAAAATGCCTTCGAGCTTTTTTTTTCCTTTATTAACCCCCTCCCCTCCCATGAACAGATGCCTGCATCAGCAACCCGTGTCAGAATGGAGGCCAGTGTAACCAGCAGGGAGCCGGGTACCAGTGCCAGTGCCAGCAAGGTTATGATGGTCTCAACTGCGAAATAGTACTGAGTGAGTATAGGTTCCAACTGGAGGTCCAAAGAAAACTTTGAAATTGCACTAGTTTTAATTTAGAGAAGAAATTGTGCACATTCCATTGAAAATTGGTTTCATACTCCTTTCTTGGTCTTTACTTACATGTAGCTTGTGGTAGACTACGTGGGCCCTTTTATGCTGTTTCAGACCCCTGCCTTGTTAGTCATTTTTTTCTGGTTTTTTTTTTCTATTTTCTAAGATCCTTGTGTTAGTTCTCCGTGCTTTAATGGAGCCACATGCATCCTGCTGGGCACTAACTTCAGATGTCAGTGTGCACCAGGTTACACGGGCACCAACTGCAGAACTGTACAAAGTAAGCATCTGTGACAAAGGTCAACCTTAACCGAGACTCCCTGAGGTGTGTGAGAAATCACATCACAATTGGAGGAATGAAGATTGTTAACCTTGATACCAGCTCAAGCAAGTGTTTTGATATGATTGTGGTCATTTCAGGCTTAAGCACTTGCTGCCGGGAAGCCCGGTTTTGGGCACATATTCTTTATATGCATAGCCGGGGTCTCCGAAATGGAACAAAGGGAACTAGGCCTTGTAACAAAAGACTGTACTTGTAACAAAAGACCAGGCTGCTGGGAATTACTGAAATTTTTCACTCTCAGTAGTGGAGATAATCCAGCCTTGTTTTGAAACAGTATACCACTGTTGGGGCATTCAGTGGGAGCAGATTACCACTGGGGACGAAAGCTCTCCACCACCGCAGTGATGAGCCACACAGTACTGCTGCACGCTAATCNATAACACTGCACAATCTGGGCTCTTTCTACAAGGCGGTAGGCCTGGCTGAAATACTCCAGCGTCAGTAAATGTTGTCTATCAGACTAGAGCAAAATCAGACAGTCCTTCATGTGAGTGTAAGTTTCCAGTAAATGAAGATATGAATTTTTAAAGAATTTTGAAAACAGAAAACAATGAAAAATATAAATGAAAATAATCAACGTTCATAAATGCCCCCAGCGCGATGTGGTCAACTCCATCAAGGTTAAAGTCTCTCTGATTTCAATATGATTTTACATACAAGGGAGTTTGAAGAGCCCAACCACTATTATATGCATGTCTAGGGCCTTTTTTGTGTTGCAAGGACCTGGATTTTGTTCAGTACTGTGTCACTGGTTCACTGATACCAGAAACACCTGCCTAATGGATGGAGCATTGGGACCGCTGATCAAGGTCCAGATCCATTTGAAACAAACAGGCCCTAGATGTCCGAGTTTTGGAAACATACAAAGAGTGGATAATTGACTGTGTTGTCTTTGCGACAGATCCTTGTGATAACAACCCTTGTCTTAATGGAGGAGTGTGTTCATGGCAAGGCCAGGTTTTAGTCTATCAATGTCAGTGTCCAGCAGGCTATAGCGGCAACAATTGCCAATTAATTACAAGTAAGTGGATCTACCTCATATTGTCTTATTTTGTATCCAACATGCCTTTGCAAGTATGATTGGAGAATGGGTCTTATTAGCAAGTTTGGGTTTTCGTTTGGTTGTCATTTTGGTTGTTGTTTCATTTTGTTGCCATCTTACTAGATCCTTGTGTTAGTTCTCCATGTTTCAACAGAGCCACATGTCTGCAACAGGGGACTGATTTCAGGTGTCAGTGTGCCCCAGGCTACACAGGCTTAAACTGCGGAACCATACAAAGTTAGTGTTGAAAAGACGTAGGATTTTTGCCATCCTCATTCTTAACAGATCCACCAAATGTTTTGATATGTTTGGGTTTAATAGTTGGATCAGTATTATAAAGGTATCTCTTGAGATGTCCAAGTTTTGAAAACGTACAAATAGTGAATAATGTACCGTGTTGTTCATGTCTTTGCGACAGATCCTTGTGATAACAACCCTTGTCTTAATGGAGGAGTGTGTTCGTGGCAAGGCCAGGTTTTAGTCTATCAATGTCAGTGTCCAGCAGGCTATAGCGGCAACAATTGCCAATTAATTACAAGTAAGTTAGCAAACCGTCTTAGATTTTGCTACGTTGCTTTCAAAAAGTGTGCATCGTACCTACTGGAAACATCTGTTAACTCCAAGTGAACTGTTTATCATTTTTGGCTTGTTATTTCTTCAACCTATTAGATCCTTGTGTTAGTTCCCCGTGTCTTAATGGAGCCACATGCTTCCTACAGGGCACTGACTTCAGATGTCAGTGTGCACCAGGCTACGCAGGGACAAACTGTGGGACCATACAAAGTAAGTGCTCACAACTTTAGAGGATTGAGGATTGTCAACCTTAATTTTAACAAATCTACCAAATGGTTTTGATGATTTGGAGCTTCACAGTCCAACCACTATCATACAGGTGAGCTTATAGATGTTTGGCCTTTGGAAAGTAGGAAGAGTGGATAATTGACCGTGTTGTTCATATCTTTGTGACAGATCCTTGTGATAACAACCCTTGTCTTAATGGAGGAGTGTGTTCATGGCAAGGCCAGGTTTTAGTCTATCAATGTCAGTGTCCAGCAGGCTATAGCGGCAACAATTGCCAATTAATTACAAGTAAGTTAACAAACCGTCTTAGATTTTCAATGTGCATACCGGGAACTGGTAATGTACTTCAATTATAGTAAAGTGATATACTCTTTTGTTTTAATATTGAAATAGTCAGATTTTAAAACATTTGGTGACTGCTGTTTTGCATAAATTTGCTTTCCCCAAGGTTCATGTGTTATCCACAGGAAAGTTTGAAATGGTACCATAGCCCTGTCTTGTTCGTTCAAGAACTTTGAAACTTGTAAAAGTTGCATATTACGCCTGCAGAAAAATGTCTATTTGTTATCACTGAGTGAACCATGTCATCATATTTACTCGTCATTTTTTCAACCCTCTAGATCCTTGTGTTAGTTCCCCGTGTCTTAATGGTGCCACGTGCCTTTTACAGGGCACCGACTTCAGATGTCAGTGTGCACCAGGCTACACAGGCACCAACTGCGGGACTGTACAAAGTAAGCACAGTTTTAATATTGAATCCAGCCTCTGCGCTTGTGTCATTTGACAAGCGCTGTATACACAGTTTTACTTGGGACCTTTCTGTGAAGTCCAACATAAACATGCTCGGGTGTGACTTAAACCTACGACAACAGAAATCAGGAACCTTGCTTAACTCTGAGATTTACAGATTTCAGAATCCTCTATTTGTTCTCTTAAAGTTTAACTGACTAAGATCTCTTTGTGCCTTGTGTCATTCAGTTTGCTTGGATTGATAGTGATATCTTTTGTTCTCTGTAATTTTGCTAGACCCATGTGATGCCAATCCATGCTTAAATGGTGGAATGTGTAATTGGTTTGGACAAGCCTTGATATACCAATGTCAGTGCCTGCAAGGCTACAGTGGCAACAACTGCCAAGTAATACAAAGTAAGATCATTACGTTACCACAGTTCCTTGTTTTGAGTCTTACCATTTTCAGGTTGTTTGGCTTCTAGCTAGCACTCCTCAAGCAGAGATATTGACAAATGGGAAGAGCCACCAACATAGGGCTGGTAGAGCACTGGCATGGTATTCCAGAGGCCACTGGTTCAAATCCCGCTCCAGCCAGTTTCTTTGTTCATCTTTAGAATCATTCATTCACCTAGTCAGTTTCCCTATATATGATTAGTTTCATCATTTTCTTATCCTATTGACTAGCATTGTTCATCCTTGTTGAATGCTCCACCCTGTAAAGTGCAACCAACAGCTCTGGCTGTTACAACAAACTCTATTAGTTTATGGACCCAAGTGATTCTGCCATGTGAAATATGCCCTCTAGTGTTAAAGGCCATCAGCTGGCAGTCAAAATGGGCCAGGAAAAAACTGGTATTTTTCTTTATCCTTTTGGCATGTCTTGGACACCACTGAACCACTATTCAGCCTGTGTTTGGTCGCATCCTCGCCAAGGGCCTGTACATTTTTTACTGCAAAATCTCTCACTGAACAGGAAGAAGAAAAATGTACGTTCTATGTTTTAAGGCAGTCAAAGGAATCAAGCCCCACATTAAGACGGTTGAAGTTACAACAGTAGACTTCTTATCAGTCCCTCGTCCCTTTTTGTGCTGTCTGTCTCTATAGATCCCTGCAATAGCAACCCCTGTCAGAACGGTGGTTTGTGTCAATGGCCTGTTACAAGTTTTGCCTACACCTGCCAGTGCACCCTCGGCTTCACTGGTTTGAACTGCGCGACAGCTCTGAGTAAGACTTTATCTGGAATACTTGGCTACGGCTGGCTGTAATACACATGGGAAATGGCTGCATGTAGCCACTAGCTTGTGGCTTCCATAGGAATGCATGTTCATTCTTGCTGTTGCTAACTTATGGCAACATGACCCGAGTTTGGTTGATGTTAAAGGCTGGAATAGAAGTAATTTAAAATGCTAACAAAAGATGCACATACCATGATGTTTGAGCATTCTGTTTGATGAGTACAAAATCCCGAAAGACCTGGACCTATATCCACAGCCAGTCAGCTTTATGGAGCCACGCCCACCAATGCACTGATAGGTTCCGATCCCTTCAATCAGAATGGCCATTTGTTCAAATCTCCTCTGGCTTTAAGTTCTGCTAAACCTGTCACTTAGCGACAGGCAAATGTTGTTTTAACCAAAAATCTTTTCTTTCTCATGACGGGAATTCGTTAATGGTGGTAACATTGTGTGTTGTTTCACAGATCCATGCTCAAGTAATCCATGTAACAATGGAGGCATATGCTCTTGGCTGGTACCCGACTACCGTTACCAGTGTCAGTGCCCGCCGACACACACTGGTAACAACTGTGAAATCCCGCTTGGTATGTCAGTTTGTCTCTTGCTCTGTTTCTTTTCTCCAACAGTTTTGATGTAAGTGGGCTGGGTTGTGGTACCACTCGAAAATGAAAAATCAGTCTCCAAAGGAATTCAAAGATAATTTGAAACTCCGGTCTTTAACTTTTTTCCATTTAGGATCATGCTTCTCAAGCCCCTGTCAGAACGGTGCCACATGTTTCAACCTGAACCAAGGGTCAGGCTACTTCTGTAGTTGTCCCTCCAGCTTCAAGGGAGAAAACTGCCAGTATCCAGGTAAGCCATCATTGTCAATGACAGAAGTTGCCATCCAGAAAGTGCAGATGAATCCAGTGGCCGTGGTGGTGCTGTCTCCGGACAGTTCTGAGGGCCTCTTTCAATGATGCGAGGCATTGTAATTGTTGCACAATTGTTGAAGTTTTCTATAGCATATTGAAGTGGGCCATCAGGGTTGTCTACTGACAATGTTGCTGGATTCGTTTGTCGACTAGACCAGAGTTAAAAACCCTTACAGTGATGGCATTGCACTTTTGCACACACTCATGGAGTGTTTATGATTGGCCATAATGAAGAGAGATGAAGTAAGTATTCAGCATAATTACTATTCTTTAAAGTCTTAAATATATAATTTACAATTATCTTTACTGATATTAACATGTTTAGTATCAGTCACCTAATATTTGGAATAATTTCCTACAAGGCCTATGGCAATAACAGTGTATTTGTGCTTGTTAAGGTGTTAAACTTTGTAATAATGTACTAGTCAAGTTTAAATTTACCCCACAATACTGTGAATGATCGTGGATGTCCAGATGGGCTTTTTTACCACATTGCCGACAGTTTGATTTCCCTTACTGACCAACATTCCAATTTTGAGAATTGAACTTAAACAGTGTTCATTTGTTGATTTTTGTTTGTCTAGAGCCTTGTATTTCGTCGCCATGTTTGAACGGTGGAACATGCTCTTCCAACACCATTGGATCCAGCTTCACCTGTACCTGTCTAGCCAATTTTCAGGGAAACAGTTGCCAATTTCCAAGTAAGGAAAAACTAAAAGCATCTTAGATATTTATGAACAAAAGTTAGTGTTTTAGAACATGTTAGATAGTCTGTGCTCTTGTATGAATGCTGAATTCCACCTTTGACATTTGCTCAACTATAGATCCATGTAGTTCCCAGCCCTGCCAGAACTTTGGAATCTGTGTACCCGATAATTTTGGCTCATCCTATTCTTGCACCTGCCAACCAGGTTACCTTGGTGATCACTGTCAGTTTGCAAGTAAGTCAGGGTAACATCCGTCATAACATTAAATAACCCGACATAGATTTGTAGTCACACCAAATGAAATTTAGGTTAAGCCGCCCAATGTTTCGAGACCAAAGATGTGATAATGCATTGTTCTTTTTACGTTGCATGACACTCAGATATAAATCTTGTCATGCACAATTTATTGCTGTAGCTAAATGTGGGCCTCATTTTTTTAAAATGGTGTTTGTGCATTGATTTGTGAAATATTTGAATCAGTTTCAAATCATGACTGTCATGACTTTTAGCACATAGGTTGCATGTTGATAATTTCACTTTGATTCCAAGCTTAGAAGAACATCTCACGGTTGTGTTTATCTCAAGTCTGCATACTGACACAGCAATATCAGTGACATCTGAACCTCTGTCTTTATTTGGTCATTTATAGATCCCTGCATTTCCAATCCATGTTTTAATGGTGGGCAGTGTGAGACGGATAACGTCGGTTCACGGTACACTTGTAGTTGCCCTGCAAGTTTTGTTGGGGACCGGTGTCAACTCAATGGTAAGTTTTGGAAATAAATTGTATCATACAATAAACCAGTTTTATCGGTGTTGGCCTGTTCAAAGTTTCTGTCATTTTCAAGCCTTAAATTCCAATACTCAAGTTTTAAATGTTGAATGATTCAAACGGATTAATTTGGCTTTTTCCGAACTTGTTTTTGAGTTGTTATGACGTTGTCATAAGTCCATATTCCTGTCCTCAAGTTGAGTCTGAAGGAATTCTAGGAACTTGTGACTGAGGCATTTCCTGATTGCGTATCATTGAACCTTGTTACGTTAAGTGAGCCTCATGATTTGGCTCACGATGAACTTTGCGCCAGCAGCTGAATATATCAGATTTATCAGATGAACTTTTTTTGTTTTGCAATTCGTAGATCCATGCCTACCCAATCCTTGCCAGAACGGAGCTGTGTGTTCCCTGGCAAATGGTGGACAGACCTACCAATGTAGCTGCATCAATGGCTTCTTTGGACAGAACTGCCAAATACCAGGCAAGAAATTTATCAAGGATTAAGGTTGCTTTTGTAATGCTTTTCCAGAGCTCCAGCTAGGTCTGCTGTTGGCAAGTCTCCACACTTGTGGAACCTGTCAAAACCAAGGCACCAGACTTGAATGGAGTCTAATTTCCTATCAGTAGTACTGATGGTTTAAAGCTTAAACCTGTTTACCCATCTATTAAAAACCCTCACATTGTTCGTAGCATGCTGCATCAAATATCTTTCAGCTGGAGGCTTTTTGGTAACATGGTCATGGGGGGCTTTGGAATCCATTAAATATCAAACCTTTTTCTTGTTCCTAACAACAGTGAGTTGTGTATAACAAGATATGTGGGCAACTTGTCTGATGTTCCCACAATAACATTATGCGTGGCAGCAGTGTAGTTAACTTGTTGGCATGGCCTTTCTTTTTATCACCAGTGAGGGCGCACTTATGCAACAGGGTCCACAAGATTGTTATAAATAGCTCTTTTTTTCCAAGTCATAGCTGTGGATGTTTGGGTTGGAAATTTGAACGTGAAATCTTTGGTTTCTTTCAGATCCTTGCCGCAGTCTTCCATGTCTTAATGGTGGAGCCTGCGTAACCACCAACGCTGGCTT